GACGACAAAGAACGGTTTGATCTCAATGTACTATCCATAGTGTCACAAATGCGATCGAAAAATGGTTCTTACTGGCATCGGAGAGGCTCGATGCCGGCATACAGCGAGGCATGGAAGATGGTCGTTTCGATACAGTTAATGAGCTATGCGCAGGTCGCAACACTACAAGCGGCAATCGATAACGATGAAATCGACGATACCGACGGAAAAGCGCAAGCAGTCTGCGATTTAACCGCAATAATTACGACGTTCGTGAACATCTTCCATCGGGACATGATCAGTAGCGAAACTTGGCCAGAGAAAAAATATACAAACCACAAATCAGTGCTCCTTGATCGAGCCGATTAGTCCATGTTCAAGACAGCATCATATGTTTATATTTAATTTTAAAACTACACTATTAGTTATTATATGTTCTATCCCTTCAATTTGCCTAAAACTTTATTTTTGTTAAACAAACAAATTTTTGAGTTATTTTTGAGATATTTTGATGAACGGCTCTACTAAGTGAATTGGTGTAGAGTAATTAATAGTGAGCAGTGTCTCACGACAGTTTTTAAATAAAAATGTCATGAACCAATAAAAAAATAGAAAAAAATTCGTATTAACGTCTTATAACTTTTTATTATATCTACTACTGAAGGATGGGCGATCTACTAATTTGTCATAATGTTTGCTACACCCAAAAGAAAGCTTCAGAGATTCTATAAAGTATGTACATTCTTGACATACAATATACGTCCAAGTATGCTTTTTATGAGCTTCTCTTTGTAAACAATTAGTAAAATCGAGATGATAACTTTATAAAAAGTGGTTACCTATAGAATAGAGTCTCTGGGGTTAAGGCCCTAACTTTCACTAATTGTAACCACGCTTTTTATATGATGAGATAACATTATTTAAATATGCAAACATCCATTTGCTCTACGTACTTGACATTTGAAATGAAATGGTCAATCAATTGAGAGCATTTCGTGCATGAATAAATGAAATTAAGTCTTTCATTGTCTATGTGAGAAAATTTTAAATACAAAACTTTCTATAAAGTTTTCAAAATTCTGAAAAGCAAATAATACCAAGAAAGTTTTATCACAATTTCAGTCGGATCTGATATTCACAGTACTGTCAATCTATCGCTCTATTAATCTGTCTGCCAAGTTTGTAGTATCTGTAGTTAGCGAAAATGAAGACATCGCCTACAAATTTGTAAAAGAATTTTAAAATAGAGAAAGCCATTCAAAGAACACAGCTACAATGCCCATACCCCTATGCGACAAGAACTAGGAACATCTTTTCTTCCCGAAATTTTTGCTCGTTATTTACAAGGAACAACAAATACACTATATAAATTTCCGCTTTTATTCTGAAAATAGAAAAAATCAGCCGCTCACCAATCCAATTTTATAGAGTATGAAAATTCAACCTTTTTTTCTTTTCTGTCTTTTTGAGGTCACGACCGAATGTTATTTATAAACCTTAGTGGTTAATTATAAACCTGTGTTTTCTATCAACTTCTTCTACCACTACTTCTTGAGTGAATTTGGACCATCTTGCATAAACATGTCAGTTTGTTACCCATTATTGAAAAATATAGAAACAATAGCAGTGAGCATGTGGTTCCTAAAAACATTAGTCCATAAAAAACCAAAATCTTTTTTGTTGGCATAAAGGCAAAATTTAAAAAAATCTAATAATAATTAAAATAATAATAATGATAATAATGATAATAAATCAACAGAAAATTGAAAAGAAAGCTATTAAATACTAATAAAAACAGTAATAAACCAAAAGAAAAAGGAGCCCTATATTCGACTGCGGACGACTTCCTTTACACGCACCATTTTTATTTTAACAGAATACTAGATGGGTGCGGCTGATTTGATTGATTTTTGTAATACAGGATATAGGTGGATTTGATAGGAGTAATGAGCAAAAAACCTGAAAAACAGTTCTTAGTTTATGTCGCACTGCGGGCGTATCCATTTGCAATATCATCCTTCAAAACTTCGAGTATTTTTGCCAAATTTGAAGCCGAGAACTTCGTTCGCCTGCAACAGATATCGGACAGACAAACATGCACGTATCTATTCAGAATTGAATGTTTATCACGTCTATATATATGTTTTCTGGAGTCTCTGAAGTTTTCTTTTGAATGTCGCAAGCGTTTTGACAAAATGTGTATGACCTTTTGCTATGGTGGTCGGTAGAAAAATATTACTGACTATACCAAAGTGGATTGCCGGGTCGTCAAAGTCGAAATTTGTAGAAGAACAACCTTTTCACTATACCTGTTTAAGTTAAATAAGTAAATGTGGTCAGCTTGCTAATACCAAACTCCAATGATAATTCGTGAGCACTTTGCGTTCCACCTGCACTACCACGTAGGTATTCATTCAACGACTTATCAAAATGAGAAGTTATGTGGAAAGTGGTCGAAGAAGTGGCCCAATCTGGACCGTTTTCAATAGCATTCACTCTTAGGTCAAAGCACGTTAGTGTGCCAAGTTTTATCAAAGTACTTCAAAAATTACTTCCTCCGGGCGGAACACAAGAAGACAAAACAGATGGGCAGACAGATTAACTTGAATCTGTCCAGAAAGTGAATTTGAATCAATCGGTATTAGAAAAGATCAAGTCCTTCTGGATGTTCCTTACAAGAAAGCGGTGGCAGACCCACGCTGGCTGCTCCAGATGCTAACGGCATACAATATCGGATGCGGCCGCAGTGCATCCAAGATTGTCGTCAAGGCGCTTGGCAGGTCCGGTAGCAAAGTTGTTGTTGTTTCGAAAATTATTTAACTAGAGACGAGATGCAGTAGCAAGATGATTTTTCTTATCCGGTGGCAGTGCCTGGCCTTAACGCATTTTATCCAAACGGAAAGAAACGCTGTATTTTCTTCTTTTTTTTTTTTCTTTTTATCCTTTTTCTAATAAGCAACTGTTTCAATAGTAGCGACGGCAAATGGTGTAGTCATAAGCAATTGTTCTATTAAATATTTTTAAAACATCCTCCAATTTTCCTTTTAAAACGATTCTTTAGTTAAACCGAATTTGTGCACGTTTACTCAAGAATTAATTCATTAACAATTTCTTCCTCAAACGATATGAATTTTCCTATTTACTCACATTAAGTAAATTAATTCCTTTGGTATCTTTCACTTCTTCATTTCTTGAGTCACCTCATAGGCAATTTTACTGATACCTTTGTTTTACTTTTTACATAAGCACTTCTAGCAAACAGTAGTAATCAAAATTGTAAATATTTTATTTTCACTGTTTATTAATTTATTATTAATTTTCCACAATTTAGAAAGCAACTTTCTCACACTTCTCGACATTAGATACTTAGGAAATCTCTTTCATTTATTTAGTAAAAAAAACAAATCCACTGTTTATTGCTTTCTTCTTTTTTTTGTTGTTCTCTTTCTGTTCTTTTTTTTTTTTTGTTTCTCGTTAGGAACAAGGATCGTCTTTCCACTTGGATATGTGCGGGCCGCGCAGGTGATATAGAAAATAATTAAGGAGCAGGAATTTCGAGGCTTCAAACAAGGAGGCATCGCAGATATGCGGAGAGATTCCATCGAAAAGATGGCGGAAGTTATGACTGCAATTAGAAGTGATACGCCAAGTAATCAGTGCGAGAGTACTTTCGAATCGTTCGTCGAGAAATGTATGGAGGTAAACTAGGAGGATTATGACGGGCAAAATACGCAAGAGAGGCCGAGTTTGCATGATCTCGATATGCCGTCCACATCGGCGGCCGCAGCGCCTGCGCAGAAGTGAGCCCAGAAGCCGTGGACAAGCAAGGAGGCGCTGGAAAAACTCATGGAGGAGTTAACTGTCCGCGATAAAATTGTACAAATAAATCTCGACGACGTATGCACAAATAGACGAACCGTTTATTCGCGGCCAGAGGATCGGCTAGATGGTTGCGGATATGCGAATGCAGATATGCGAATAAGAGTTGATATCCCCGCGGCTTTTTTAATCCATTGGTTGCAAGTATAAGGGTACAGGAGAATTTACAACTCACGAAAGATATTGGGCTCGACGTCCGAGCTATCGTCTGCGATAGAAATATATGCAATAAGAATATGTTGATGAAATTCTTAAGCAGAGTATACAGCAGGAGGCGAGTTGATGGCAGCACACATCGGATACATCCGTTATTCGATTACCCGCGCATCATACAGGCGCTCCGAGCAAAAATTAGCGAAAACGATCTAGCATGCACGCGTGACATAAGGTACGAGCAGCTCCGTCCCGCTTTACAGCTCGCCGTTTGGAAGGACCGTAGCCATGCAGTTCTTCAGCTATGCGCAGGTGACATCACTGCAAGGGCCAATATATGCGAACGAGGTGAACATTGATGTTGTCCAGGCGCAGGGCCCGTGCTACTTCATCCGCAACATCGCGAAGCTCATGCACGTGATGCACCGGAAGCCCATCAATAGAAGAAACTGGATGGTGCCTGAAGATGTGCTGAAAGAGGTGAGGACATATAGAGAGGTATTTAAAGGTGGACTCGGTTGCTGTTGACGCACGGTTGACGATCATCAATTTCATTCTTTTAATGGACGAGCTGCTGTCGGCTTGCCCTGGCGTAACTGTAAAGCCATACAGGGTAAGCCAGGACCCGTTGGAGAAGGTGTTCTTAAACTAAGGGCGTCAGTGAAGATCATGGAGGGGTTGGGAAAACTGAGGAACTTCATCGTGTCGCAATGGTCTAGCGGTTTCAAGTCCGACAACGAGTACCCCCTCATCAACAGGATGGACTATGCAAACACAATCCAGGAGGAGGAAGAATTCGCGCCGTTCAACTTTGATGGGGCGGTATACCGCGACCTGATCTTAAATCGGCTCCACAGCAATTTCGAAAGAAAATCAATACATAAAACATTAAACATTCCATGAAAAGAACGTTACTTGCCTTTAAAAACGGTGTTAGCGTTGTAAACAATCAATTGAAAAATATTTTTATTTGGAAGATTCCCGACAATATGCATAAATATCAGCAGTTATTGCTATTAATAATTTTTTGCGTAAGTGTTATATGTACATTAATGTATAAAACTGAAAACAATCGTCTTAAAGATGTTTTACACGTTATTAACTTTTTTGGACGGAAGTATGCAGCTATTCTTCGCCGCATAGACAATATTAATAATTCATTTCATTATCTGGTGGATTTCATACACCCATTACCGGTTTGGCAGCTAATAGGTCAACATTTCCATAGATAAGCTGTTGTAATAGTCGTTGGCCGTAGAGGTGCCATTCAAAATTTTAAATCTTCTGTAAATTACGAAGTCAGTAAGATAAACAAAGGCCAACTTCCGTTTCAAAGGTTGGATAAAGAAGCGAGGGATGGCTTAAGTGAATTCACCCGATATCGTTTTTATTGCCGTATAACAAGAGATTTTGGTCAACCAAAAAGTGTTCCGTTCACAGAAGTTACAAATGCGGGTTCTACCTTGGGTAGGCAGAACTTCCGGTCAGAAATTCATATTGTTACGGAAATCCCAAATCCTGTTCATTCCAGCTAAGTAATAAACTCCCTACAGCGGGAGAAACTAAATGCAAATTCGCAGTGCGTCATGCAGCTGCCGACCGAGGAAAACGAATACGAGAAAAGTAGATTAACGAATTCAAAATGAAACTATATACTTAGGTATAGTAATATGATTGTAATAATGTATATAAACAGAATATTTGTGAAAGGCACAATTAGTCGGACAAGGGCATTTGAGTCGAAAGTACTGCCAAAATAAATTGTGAATAGTCCTACTGTTAAGAAATATAGTTGTAAATAACAGAACTTTGAAGTGTATTTCTCTTGATCAAAGTATCCACGATCCAGTGATACGGACTGTGTCTTACAAAAGCGAAATTCATAGCAATATATTCTTATGTGGCGATCCAGGAACTTTGAAATCGCAAATGTTGCAATATGTGTACAATTTGGTGCCACGATCACTGTACACTTCTGGGTCCGGAAATGTTACAGCTTTTGTTAGATCGTGACTCACATCTGAATGGTTTCTTTGTTGATAATCGAGAAGTTTTTGTTTTCTAAAAGCAAAAAAACTATTTATTCATGATGATGACGAAAGTCTCATTTACCAGAACTCCGTTAAAATGGAAGATACGAACATTTCACCTGGTTCGAGTATGGGCTTTCCTTGCTTTACAAAAGAAGGAGTCAAGAGGGCACTAACTAGCTAATTATTTATGAAAATGGTATTGTTATTGTTTTTCTTTTGCGAAATTTTTATTTTAGAACTTCTCGTCTTCTTACGACGAGCTTACCATAATCCCGGCAGGCTTCGATGTTACTCGTTTGAATACGTATCGTAAGAAACTCATTGGCATCGTAAAAAAGCAGTGCGTAAGAATAATGTAAGCAAGTTTAAGTGTAGAGCCAATATCTTATTTATTTTATGGCACAATACTTTAGCTCTACGCCGAAATCGTATTACAGCGATTCCTTATTTTTCCTGTCGTACGGTCTGCATCGCATCCCGGATGAGAGAATAGAACGGGCTGTTTTATTAGGCTGTGATATAGCCTTTCGGTTTAGCGCCGGAGCTAACTCCAGTCTGTCTTCATATTTTATATTGCTATAGAGCAAATTTTCCCAACAAGTGCAAGACGTGCGAAGTCATAGCTTTGGTAAATTTTTGAAAGATTTTTGAACGAAAGCATTGCCATTCATATCGATGAGCCGGTTAAGGAAAGAGAGCTTCAAAAGAAAGAGTTTCAAAAATATAGTTTGTTTCATTGAAGTGCTGGTGAAATCGAAACTATTTATATGTCTAATAACAAAGCGGAATCCACGTCTAACGTCGCAACAGTTAAGGATTTTCCAAGGTGTTAGAGGAAACCTGGCCTACGGTAATGTATCATTGAATCATCAATTTAATCATCAATTTAATCCAGTGGGAGAGAGTGAAGTTATGTTCAATAAGACCTCCGTTGCTTACATATCTATCAAATGCAGAGCAGTCTCTATCGTTTAGGATCTTTCGATTACGATTTTATGCAATGCTGGAAAACTGAGATAAGAATATATCGTACGATACCATTCAGGTACTCATTTAATGAAACGGAAGAAGAGATAGATTAAACAAGCATTCCCTTTTCTTTTTTTTTGCGGACGATTGGCGGCAACAGAACGGAGAAAGAACGACGCTGAAATTTGATGATTGTTCAAAGAAAGAAATTTACACAAATTATTTTATAGTTTAATAAGGCAATATATTTCTTATTTCAATTTTAGTGGTAGTGGAAATTTCCAGTTAATATGAACTGTAGACAGTGTCCCATTTAAAACATATGCAAGAAATTTTCTTGCGAGACCCTTAAAGTTTGACGGATATTGTTCTAAACTGCCAGTATAAAAATTCCATTCTATTTGCAGTTTCTTTGGGTATCTGCTTCTGAGGGGTAGTCATTCTTCATCAACTAATGCTACCGACAGCATATAGGAATCAAATATTGGTTTATCCAAAAACAAGCAGCCATTTGTACGAAAGCATCTTATATCTTTAAAGAAAGCCGATTTTTGATGGCATGTCTTTAACAGCTTGTCAATAGCTTGTAAGCCTTTTTCTGCGCCTCTGTTATATGCAATGGTATGCATATGTGGGACTTTTGCCGTCTGTAGCGCCATACGTTTGCCTTTTACCTCGTTGATGCGTCTTGTGGGCATAGGCAATTGAAACGTGTTATTAGTGGGAAAGGAAATAGAGGAATGACTTTATCATTTTAGGTGAGCGGAATAACTGAATCTGTTGGAGGCCTTGGTACGAGAACAAAAGTGAGAAGGAGAAATCGAGGCACCTGACATTTTGCATTCTCACAATTTAACAGCTTACTTCGCAATCCTTCCATTTTTTAAATCATGTCATCAGACATATAAGCGTTTACAATCAAATTATGTATCTCCTCTCTTTTACACTTTTTCACTCTCGCACCTATGAATTCTTTCATATGACACTTTATACTCATGTACCGCATTATTTCTCTCACAACGGAATTTAGTCCTCGCTGCTCTGTTCATTCCTATTTGGCGGACGAGTAATATGCATATTTTAATAAAAACTTAAAAAATAAAATAACGTGGCGGACAACAATAATTTAAAAAAAAAAATTATATACCGAATCTAACCCCAATATTTCAAAGTCTCAAACAAAGAACTCTGTGTCCCCTTTGGGTCGTTTTTACACATTCCGTGTTGATTTGCTGAACAAAAGAAGAAAAAGTTGTATTTGTGTTGAATGCATGAAACAGCTGACTTTTTCACAGGTGGAAGTTTATTGTTTAACATGTATGTAGAAATCGTACATTTTTGTTGATATTTTCTGGCGGCTTTAACTTTAAACTTAGAATATATTAATAATCGTTTTCTATAAACAATTAAATTTTGATTCGTTTTTTTGTATTCCTTATTTGATTAGTAACGCGTTTTAGCCAGCACAACTTTACAGCTCATCAAATACTCATCACTTAATTAAAAAAATTGTTTTTTTTAAATTAAAATGTTTTCGCTACGGGTAAGCAAAATTAAAACAAAAAATACGCATAGTAATGATCGCTTTACAAAATTTAGCAAGTATTAATGAAGTCGTTAAGAAATTTAAGGCTCTTAACGAATACTAATGTAAAAGCTGTGAGAGTTCATAGACATTACATTCGTGCATTTCTGATTTCATCATTTGCTGGCTTCGTGGCTTATGACGGTGTATTTAATGAATTTACTTATTGCGGCGCTTGTAAACGTTTTTTACGTTCCTTAAAAACGGCTGCTCTAATAAGTATTGATTACGTGTTACTTTCTGAATGTGACCCGAGTTACGAATCTAAACTGAAAAATGTGCATCAAAGGAGTGCAAATCGTCTGCTGGAGGCATGCTTACTTAATGGCGGTCTTTACATTAAAGTAGGTCAAGGCTTTGCTGCCATTAACCACATACTACCCGAAGAGTACACTAGTACATTGTCCAATTTGCAAGATAAATGCTTACCTACTAGCCAAGCTGATATACAAAAAGTATTTATTAAGGATTTTGGCCACAAACCTGAAGAACTTTTTAAAGAATTCGATTATAAACCAAAAGCAGCCGCTAGTATCGCTCAAGTTTTCAAAGCAAAGCTAGAAAATGGCCAGGAAGTAGCTGTTAAGGTAAATTTTTTTCGTTTAAGAAAAGTGAAAAATAATCGTAATCCGTTTCTTCCTTTTTTCCCCCAGGTGCAATATAACGACTTACAAAAACGTTTCATTAGCGATTTAACTACCATAATAGTTCTACATGATATTGTAGAGTTGTTTTTTAAAGACTATAATTTTGGTTGGATTCTAAGGGATGTACGTAATAATTTAGTACAAGAATTGAATTTCGTTAACGAAGCGAAAAATGCTGAACGTTGCGCTAAAGATTTAAGAATCTTGAATTTTGTTTACGTACCTAAAGTTTATTGGACCCATACAACGCAGGTAAGCTAGTTTTGAAAGAAACTTATGACAATAGTATTCTGTGAGGAATATTTTATATCCCCTTCCAACTTCAAAACGTACAACTTGCAAAATTGTACTATCTGGCGAGTCACGAAAATCCTCAATTTCTTGAAAATTGTTGGCGCAATCGATCGGCACTTTTAAAGAAATCTCTCTTTACCACGCTTCATGTCGATGTTTAGTAATCGTCAATTAAGGAGAAAACATATTGCATGTCAAATATATTTTAAAATTTATAAAGATATTCAGATGCCCATATTTCATTTCAATTTTCATGCCCTAGTGGCTTTTTAAGTTTTCATATCCTAGAGTACTTGCGGTGTAAGATTATATACATATATTAAGTTTACGCATATCTATACTACACCCAGAAGGAGTTAGACACACCTTTTATCGTAGCGTTCTAAGTTTGCGTGCCGTCGGGCCGTCTTGTCTCCAAGACGCCATTTTCGAGATATTTTAATGAATTTGACACACTGACGTGTTTTGCATCCTTTTTATTGTAAACAGATTGATGGATGAGTGCCGACTCAATAAGAATATCCTCACATAAATCCCGTTTTTATAGATCATAAGAGATCCAACTTTTATCAAACAGGATCACTTTACAGCGTTAAATAGTATTTAGTTATCCAATTTCTAAGTTTTTCTTTCAATTCAAAAGTAATTTCTTTATAAAATGTATATGCACCACATCTACGCGACAAATCCAACTATGAAATTGTTTATCTTTTATTATATACTTTTGTTCCTTTATAATAATAACAACCTAATATTTATTTATCTATTTATTTATTTATTCCACTTATACAAGAAACTCAACTAAAACTAAAAAACTTATATTAAATTAATAATAAAACTTGGTAAAAGTACCGTAAAACAAATAAGAAGGAAAAAAAGAAAAAAGGAGAAAAGCATGTACACAACCAGCATAGAGCCACACTTACAACCGGTACAAGACCAAATTGCAAATGAACCCCTAAGCCATCGCAAACATGCATAAGCCTTGAACCGATAATACTTAACAACAATCCATTTTCGAATCGTAACGACTTTTAAGGATAAAAGCTGAGCCGATAGCCTGTGTTGCTAGTGCTCAATGTCTTTTTTTAGTCTAAGAATTCATTTCATTAGTCTAAAATTAAAATAATAATAATAATAATAATAATAATAATAATAATAAGGATAAAAGCTACTTAAAGTACGACATAGGTAAATCGCGTGTATTAAGCAATGTTGCTTTAATGGACGTCAAACAGTCCGATAACGAGAATAAGTGATAGACGTCATTTAGGTTCTTGCAATGAACTATGAGCGGGTTTAACAGCTCATAATTATGTTTACACTGACTAAGCTTAACCAAGACAAAGTGCCTAGAGAATCGGTTAGGGATATTAAAGCTTATTTCACCAAGTAATAAAGGCGAGTCAATAGCACCATTTATTACTTTGATTACAAAGAAAGCGGCAAGAACAAACCTACGTTTCTCAAGAGACCGTAAGGACAGCAAAAGCAATCTATTTTTATAGGGAGGAAGAGAGGCAATCGGATCCCAACCCAAATTTCTAAGGGCAAACAGCAAAAATTGCTTTTGAACAGTCTGGCAACTTTGTCGCGCGGTATAGTCGTATATATTTTGTGTCGGCAATTAAAATTTTAATTTTTTGTTGAATTTCGTGGCTATTCTGCCTTATAGTGTGTGATTTTAGAATATACTTTGAGAAGAAAGTGAGTGAATTCAAAGTAAGAGAAATATTTTTCTTTTACGATTTCATTTGATTCATTTGATTTTTGCAAACAAAAATTTTGAGCTCTGATAAAAATCTCTCTTTTTTTTTTGTTTTCTCTCTTTTTCTCAATTTTTTTTTTTTTTTTTTTTTACTGTTTGGAGTTTGTGTTGCTAGTGATCTCTCGTTACAGTGTCAACCTAACAGAGAAGTTTTGCACAAATTGGTTGATAAATTTTTATGTTCAGGATTTTCTTTTAGTGATTTGTGTGTCTGTTCTTCATAATCAACAACTGTCTTTTTGACAGGACATGGAGTGTTTATATACACCTTGTCGGGCGAAATCAGGCCCGGATTCTGATAGATTCGTTTCTTGTTGGCTCTGCGAGCGCTTTGGTCATGCAAAGTGTGCCGGTATTCTCGGCCGTGCTGCTGACGCAGTCGCTGATCCGGCTAAAGGCTTAAGATGGTCATGTCCTGACTGTAGGCAGCGGGACATTGACTTTTATAAACTTTTCACGGAGACCCGTTATGGTTTCTCGGAATTGAGTAGAAATCTCGGCTCCTTGTGGGAAAAGTTTGAGCTCATTAAGTCTAGGTTTGATGAGTGTCGATTTATTGGACACTCATCTTCTACTCGTAGCGTAGCGTGTGGGACGTCACCTCTGGCTTTCTCCAAATCTAATTCGTTGGTACAAGTTACCGCTCCCTCTAACTCTAAAATGAATAGTAATGTTTCCGATATTGCTGAGTCGGTTGGTAGCAAAACAGTTACAAACAAACCGGCAAGTCCATCGGTTTTAAGCTATGCTGAAGTGGCAAGGGTATCTCCGCCCAGAGCCGCCACTCACTCTAATCAAGTGCCATCGCCTAAAAGTAATGAAGAGAAAAATAAGTCATCCTCTCCTCCTGGCTGTTCGCGTGTGAATGCTGGTCACCAGACTGGACAAGTCTCACAAGCTGCCGGTACAAGGGCGATAACCCCGTCTATATTTTCCCCAACTCGAAACTCTCCTACTGTGAACCCCCCTCCTGTGCCAAATAATGACATTTGCTTGACGGCAGTTCCTCCCAGAAAAGCAATATTTGTGTCAAGACTGGCATCGGTGGATAACATAAAAGGTTATCTGGCGACGAAAGCCCCATCCGTCAACTTAAAGCGTGTTAGCATCTTCAAAATGGCTCCTTCTCAAGCGAGGGCAATCTCCTCTTTTAAAATATTAGTTCCGACTGAAAACAGTGATATGTTGTCAAACAAATCACTGTGGCCAGTAGGATCCTTAATTAAGGAATTTATCCCTCGAGATCGTCACCGTAATACCAAGGCAATAGTCTTGTCGCCTTCAAAAAACTAATTGTTTCTTCAGGCCCACTTCTCTCATTTATCAAAATGTTAGGGGCCTAAATTCGAAAATTTGTTCCACTTTTCTAAATTCAGTGAGCACGGAATTTTTCTGTTTGGCCTTTACTGAAACTTGGCTAAAACACGATCTTCATTCGTCGGAACTTTTTCAAAATTCTTTCCAAGTGTTTAGAAATGATCGAGTAAATCGCATTGGTGGTGGTGTATTAATTGCCATATCTGCGTCAGTCCCGTCCA